AATCACAGTATTGACTTGTATATGTGGGGGGTGGGGGGTGGGTAGAAAAGAAGTCTTTTATGTGTATCAAGGTACTAATTAATAAGCTTCATGCAAAACTTGTGCATTTGGTGTTTGCTCTTTGTGGATTCAAATCCGTCATCGATCTACCTTACTTTTGAGTATTTTATAAAGAAATCTTATTTTTGGGGACTGATTAGATATCTATGTTCAGATTGGGGAGTTACAGTTCTAACATTTTAATTATATTATCAAGGAATGATGATGGATTGCTGCTTTTTGACACTAGGTAGAAATACCTTCACCTTTTGCCTTCAGAATATAGCTATCCCCTAGTCTATGTCATGCAAACGTTTTTTTCATGAGATTTTTTTAAAGTCAATTAGAATCAACCACTAAATCCTTGTAACCTGAATTAGGAATAGTTCCTATATTTAGACATATGTAAATTATTAGTATTTATGCTTAAAATGAAGTGTTTGAAAATAATTTTTTATTTCTTTTCTAAATTATAACTATATTAGCTTATTTAGTGAATTTAGCCAAAGTTTTATTTGTTATAAGGCTTGGAAGATACATGAAGAGTAAACTGATATCCCAAACAAATTGTTAGAAACTTGGATGATGTCTTAAGTAGAATGTTTACCATCTTTTACCCATGATTCTGGGGATCTTTCCATTTCAAGCATAATTAAGTTAAGCAGTATTTGCATTTTTCTTTAATACCATTTCTGTCCTTGCATACCTAGTGTGAAGCCATCTTATTTAATTTTTTGTCAATTATGCATGAAGTTTGTTACGCTTCGACTACTACGGCATTTAAAACTATTTTTTGCAATCTGCATTTTATTTAAAATATAATACTTCTTGAAGAGTATTTTGAGCCTTTAAAATCGTTAGAATGGGAGAATAAACGGGACATTTTCAGTTTATTGGTTTTTAATTCTCTATGTTTTTTCCTATGTCTTTGTTTCAAAAAAGAATTTGAAATTCAGAAAAAAAGAGGAGAATGTATCCTTATACTTTGTACCATGTAAATGATGCAACACTGACTTGAAATGGATTAGGAATTAATCACAGAGACTGTGACATTGAGTTCAAAAGACCATTGCAAAGACCCACCACAAATCAACTGGAAAAAATAATATAATTTAAAATTCCATACAAATAATTTAACAGTGTTGGTAGTGTCTTACATATGTATGGTGTTTATGAAAAATTTCAAAACCTTTTGTGTATTTGTTTTAATTGTGATCTTTACAAAATGAAAACAAATATTACTATTATTTTATAAATGAGAAATTTTTAGATGATGTACTTCAGAAGAACTGATAGTGCTTTAAATGACATGAAAATGTTCTTCTAACCCTACGTGCTGACCACCTGTGTTTTTATACTACAGCTCGGCTAGTTATGTCTATAATGCTGAGTATTAATGGGATTTACTTCCCTTACTAGATGCCTAGGAGGCACAGAGAAACTACATGCTAGGCTAGCATCCAAAAGCACGGAGCCAAGAGCACTTTTAAAGATGTTAAGCTGTTATCAGAGTTTGGACTTCTCAGGATGCGTAACAGTAGGAAAGTTTCAGAAGTTAGCTATGAAAGATGGAAAAATTTGATATATTTTTTTCCTAGAAATTCTTATCTCCATCTTTAGAAAATGCTCTTAGTAATTTGGAGTCACATTTAACGCACTTTGCATGTTTCTCTTACGCAGGGACTTGTAGGCGGCGTCGGTCCTCCGGGGTTTCCTGGGCTTAGAGTGAGTATCAAGTATCACCCTTCTTATAAAATATTCTTGTGTGTGTTTATATTTGTTAGATGTGTTTTAAAAACTTTAAAAAAAAATAAGCAAATTTAGTGTCATTGTTGAATATCAGCCTTGCTCACATGTATTTTCCCATCAGACATGCAAATTAAATCAGTAGTCTGAATCTAAAAATTAATTTTACTTTATAAGCTAAAATAACAAATTTTTGCAGGTTGACGTATATATGTATTTGTCCGTTTCATTAAAGGATACTTAATCGAGACTCCGTTTCTTCAGAAATGTAAGACATAGGGCAGCCACTTCGTTCCTTTGAAGTAGTCTTTCCTGCCATCTGTCTGGACAGACACAGATAAGGCTGAACAAAAGCATATGGTAACTGTAGGCTTTGCTTATGAAATAAAATTGAATAAATGATTAGGAAAACCATCCTGAGCAAAAGGTAGGAGCTGGGCTTCAATGCCATTAAACATTTTAATACCTCATTTATTTATTAGACTTTTTAAAAGTGACTGTATTATTTGTTCACTTAATCAGTTTTTATACAGTGAATTCAACTCCATTTCATTGGAGTTTCTGATGTCAGCAAAGCACAGTTTAGTAAAAGCAATTCTGTGGAGGCCAAAACAGTGTAGTCCAGCTATGTCGTTCTCTGATACATATTTTATTATTCATTGGAGTGAACGGACTGCTACTTTGGATGTATCTTTGTAAATATGTTTCTCTCATCCAAGCTTATGGTTCATGACAGGCATATAAATTACAGGTATTTTATATAAATTTAGAGCCATATGCTTGAACATTGAGCTGACCTAAGGCAAGACTGACATATTTTTATTCAATGTAAGGAGCCTAATGAAAACAGAATCTTAAAAGCAGACTATTTCTATTCGTATAAAAGTAGGATGGCCATGGTTAGAGGCAGGATTTTCCTTAAAAATCGATTTAGAGCTTGCTGTAATAAAGTAGGTCATTAAGACTCCAGAGTTTGATGCCATAAATCATAGCTACAATATTTTTAGCTTGAACTTGAACACAGTTCTTCTAACTCCATATTTAATGTTCTTTCCCCACCTTAACTGCCCCAAGGCAAAAGGTGGCACCTTAGCCAAAGGAATGAGTCAGGAGTTCAGTTATTGGAACTATGGTAAAAATCAGCATAGCGAGTTTTCACTTGCCCCTGTCAGATGACATGGGTTAGAAAGTAAGCTCAAAAACCTGAGTAAGTCTAATAAGACATTTAAACATTTCTCTTGTATAATAATATTAGTGTAGTAATTATAATAAAATTAGCAATAATAGCTCACTTTTATTTAGTATTTTCTGTGTGCTAGTCATAAGGGTTATGTCATTTAATTCTCAGAACAACTGAAGACCACTGAACTGGTAAGTTGAGCCCAGAGTTGAAGCCAGGTGATAAATATCTGGAGTCCAGAACTCTACCCATTGCGCTATACCACCTCCTTCAAACTTATATTGCCTTCAAACGTACACTGCCTCTCTTAAAAGATTT